AATAGAAAATAAAAATAGAAACAAAAAGTATTTTTCAAACAATGATGTAAATGAAACTATCTATAAACATGCCATTTAATACTAGATCTAACTCTAAATGTAAAACTTAAGTCAGATTACAATCATTAATACTAAATATATAGTGATTTTATATTTTACATCGATTGGTATATGTGTCGTTTATCCAATATAAAAACTCATGGTTATTAATTTACATAAAAACATTTCAGGGGTCGGCAACTTGTGGCTCGCGAGCCGCGCGCGGCTCCCTCGACGTCCAAATGCGGCTCTCCAGCTCCTTACACCAGGGGTCGGCAACCTTTTGAAGCGGAAGAGCCAAAAGTTACACTTTTCAAAATTTCCCTGGTTTTAAAGAGCCACAAACATTTTTTTTATTTCTAATATTTTATTTTTTTATTAAGATTATTAGTATTGGTGCAAGGAGCTGGAGAGCCGCATCTTGATATCAAAAGAGCCGCATGCGGCTCGCGAGCCGCAGGTTGCCGACCCCTGCCTTACACAAATATTAATAGTTATATAATTTCAATTTTACTGGACGGTGGGGCACGAGCTTACCCTGCGTTCAGTGGGATGGCAGATAAGCCTGGTGAGAACCAAGGGACAGAAGCGAACGATACAAGGTATTTAAACCAATATCCAAGCCAGTTAGTCGGCGCCTTCGTGTTGAGACCTGACTTGCTAATGGAAGACACCTCCTGAGCCGGTGATATCCGTAAAGAAAAAATAAAATTTAACAGCTTCTAAAAAAGTGGATTGAGATAGTCCTAGAATAATATTATTTGATTACTAATTTTATTATTCTGGCGAAACATGTCTATGTTTTTATATGAACAAATATTATATCATATTTAAACCTATTTATTTTAAATAACAAATCAAATTTATTTACCTAATCTTAATCAAATACCAAATATTGAACTAAAAATGTTGTGGCTCTTTAAAAACTGGCAAATTTTGTAAATTGTAAAATTTGGCTCTTGCGTATCAAAAGGTTGCCGACTCCTGCCTTAAGTGATACTCCTTCAAAATGTTATCTTAATTACAAAGTCAAAATGGCCCAGAATACAGAAGGGATTCAGCAACTTCTAATCGCATTATTTGAAATATTAATGTGAATGCCATCAGTGGCGGAGCTAGAAAAAATGGGCCACCCCGCAAAAATATTTTTTAGCCCCCCACCCATCTCTCTCTCTCTCTCTCTCTCTCTCTCTCTCTCTCTCTCTCTCTCTCTATATATATATATATATATATATATATATATATATATATATATATATATATATATATATAAATACATATACACACACAAAATATGAACATAGGATTCTCATTGCTGGCCTGTTCGGGTTTTGAAAACAAATTTTATTTTTCAATTTAAGCAAATTACAACATGTCATTTGTGTAAGTGCAATATACCAGAAACTACGTAACACATTTATTAAGATTGTACGTAAGTCCGGAAAGAAAAGCAAACGCTTTCGAATATATCAAAAACCACCAATCAAGTAGCCACAACAAATAAAGCAATTACACTTAACTTAATTAACACGAATAGACAAACAACAGGATACGAAAGCAGACTTGTAGCAACGGCTATTTATATATCCACTATATGGAAATACAGGAATACAATCAGATTTTATTCTAAAAAATACTCTGACATCGAGTTAAAAGAAATATTTCAAGAAAATCTAAGACAAAGCTAAGACATTGTAATTAATAAACATAAATATGTCTAAATTATATAAGTGTTACTTAAGCTTTTCCTTACTATAATTTTTCAGGTACGTAAGTTGCACAATTGTAACTTTTAAAAAAATATATATATATTATTGCTTAATATGTTAAATTTTTAATGCATATATGCATTTGCACTGTTTTGTTTATTTATATCAGATTTATGGTTGTATACGGACGACCATATGTGACAAAATAAAAATTAAAGATTAATAAACCACACATTTGGTGAAATTCATCAACCGATGAATGATAGTTTACTTATAAAGTAAAAAAAAAATTTTTATTTCCATTCAAAATTTGAAAAAAATGTAGGGCCCACATCCCAAACCGCAAATATAATTATAAACATTATGCTTTGCCATAGATCGCAGTAATAGAAAGTCATTGACAAAGTATTGTTCAGGTAAAAGGTAACTCTTATGTTTTTCATGCAGGGGAAACAATCAAATATAAGTACATTACTTTAAGAAACACAACTAAAGTAAAGAATAGACATAAAATAAAATATAGTTCTTTTAATAACAAAAGATATAATAAAAATTAAAAAACAAATTTCTTTGAAACAATGATGTAAAATGACATTATCTATAAACATGCCTTTAATATTGGATCTAACTCTAAATGTTAAACATTTGTCAGATTACAGTACTTAATGCTTTATATTTAGTGATTTATCATTTGACAACATTGCATGAGTTTTCTAAATTTTTTTCCAAATAGAAACAATAATGGTATTTAATTTAAACCAAAAATAAATTACAAATTAAAAAAGTGTATTTCAAAAAAAAAATAAGAAAACATTTTTGAATGGACAGACTGGCGGCTTTAACCCCCGACCCCAACCCCCAAAAAATTTAAAAAAAAATTCTTTATAACCGTATGTCACTGTTTCTTTAAAGAACACTGATTATTCCAGCTTACTACTTTATAACCCTCACCCCCACCTTAATACGTTTATATGTATTATATGTATATTTAAGAATGAAAGAGATGAAGATAACGGAGGTTTGTAAATCTACTACGGTCCTCGTATGTCACGTGATGAAATACAAGTAATTAGACAGTGGTCACCTTCGGGACAAAGCTCAGGCGAGCTGAAAAGAATTACATAATCTGAGACTAAAAAAAAACACATTTATTTGTTTGTTTGTCATTTATTTTATCAACATGTTGTTTAAGGGTTTAAAATATATCAATTACGTGTTTAAATATCTCCTATTTTAATCCACATATCTAAATTACAAATGTCTACATTTAACTTTTTCAAAAGTTTCGAATGTTTTACCTACATACACCGTTTTAAACAAAGTTGGGACTTAAAGACAAGTTATTGCGGTCACTCTAGCGTCGTATTTTAATTTATCCTAAATAGGCTTACATTTTATTATGGATTTAATCTCATATTACGTGTTGTCAGTAGGACGTGATTATATGTAAATATGTATATCTTATGTAAGAAGGAAAACATAAATAAACGAGTGCTTAATAGTATTTTCACCATGACACATCATTGTCGAAAGATTTATAAAAATACAATTTAACCGCAATAGTTCACAGTATGAAAAAAAAAACACCAAAAAGCAAGTGTAAAAACGTTAAAATAATAGTTGTGTACAAACTTTAGAAATGTAAAAAAATAGCCTTGCAAAATAGAATAGTTAGATAACAATTACAATTACCGCGCAGTAGAGAGAAAATACCAATTGATGTACAGGCACCATGGTACTACATGTTATTTTAATGAGACTGTGTAAGAATGTGTTATTAAAATTACATCAGTCCCGTCATTGCCGTTAACATCGTTAATATCATTATTGTTATCATCATCATCCTCCTTGTCGTTGACGTCATCAAACAACGTGGATTCCAGGATATTATAATTTGACACAAAAACAACAATACATAATCTTTCGACTTAGAACAGGCCATAACAGATTAAATCAACACATGCATAAAAAACTAAAAATTGGGTATGGCGAAATATGCCGTTGTGGCAAGGCCCCGGAAAATACGGACCACGTCCTTCAGGAATGTTCTTTATATAGCCAGGCGCGAGTCAGACACTGGCCCCTGCTCACCCCACTCAGGGAAAAATTGTATGGGGCACCTGCTGATCTGGAGACCACAGTCCGGTTTATTCACGAAGTTGGACTTGTTGTCTAAATCCTCCACCTTATTCCCAATTAAGAACGAAGAAGAAGAAGAAGTATATGTTTCCTATATAAATTCCATTTCGTTCGTGGGGTGGGGTTGGGGCGGTAGACTTCCTTCGTGGGGGGGGGGGGCAGAGGAAGAGATGCATGGAAGAAACTCTGCATAATATACATGTATATTCAATGTATGTATGAATAAGCACTGTTTCGTTTATTTATAATAGATTTATGGATCAATATGGACGACAATATGAAACGGGAAAAAAAAAATGATTCAATCAATGAACTACACACTTGTTGAAATTCTTTAAAAGCAAACTGAAAACACGCGGAAATTTACTATGGTTTAGTATAAATACATATTCTAATACTAAAACTTATTAAATTTGTGTATGTGTCAGTTCGTTATGGAAATTTTGCGGATATAACGAAATCTAATAGAGGAATATAAACAACACTGTACGAGAGAAATGCAACGAGTTACCTAGTTATCTTCTGTATGTTAGGTGAAACAACTCTTACAAAACAACAATTATTAAAGTTAACAAATGGTGGTCGTCATGTTGTAATAAGCATTTGTATTAAAGTAAAAAAGTTAAATTAAAATGTTATAGTTTGTACATAAAAATGTATAATTTTTTTCATTCGTGCAGGAATAGATTTAAAATTTAAAATAATCAAAACTAAAACGCCAGACCATTCCACTAAACACTAGTTTATATATAGTTGAAAACATCTTCTATAAAACTTAACGACACAGTCATAAAAATAGCCCAGGCCACAAGGTTCCTAGGAGTCACTCTTGACCCCATGCTGACCTGGAACACACATATAGAAGCCATAGCACAGGGGTCGGCAACCATTTGAAGCGGAAGAGCCAAAAGATACAATTTTCAAAATTTCCCTGGTTTTAAAAAGCCACTAACATTTTTTTTATTTAAATTATTTTATTTTTTTATTAAGATTATTAGTATTTGTGCAAGGAGCTGGAGAGCCGCATCTTGAAATCAAAAGAGCCGCATGCGGCTCGCGAGCCGCAGGTTGCCGACCCCTGCCATAGCACAAAGCTGCAATAGTATGCTCAACATGATGAGATACCTAAAAGGTCACAGCTGGGGTGCCAGGACTGAGTGCCTGCTAACTTTCTACAAATCCTTTGTAAGGGGCAAAAAAGACTATGCCAGCATAGTCTATGACTCGGCCTCAAACTACACAAAAAAAAACCTTGACAAAATACAGAACCAGGCCCTTAACATAATTACCGGTTGCAATAGTAGTACCTCCAAAGAAGCCCTAGAGGTCCTCCTGGGAGTAATCCCCCTCTCACTCCGCAGGAAGGAACTCAGGCTAAACTACTGGGCCAAAGTAAAACATCAAAACCACCCAACCTCAGCGGCCTTCCTACCAGTGCTACCCAGGGCATGGGGAATCCCCATTGGGAAATTCAACCCCCCCCCCCCCCCCCGCCAGATGGAAAACACCGGGGGAACTGGAATCCTGCAACCAAACCTCAATCGCGGTTCAAAACTTAGTCATCCACAAACCTATAGTCCCCCCCTGGGAACTGACATCCCCATCATTACACACAGACCTGCACAATCAGATAAATAAAAAAGAGGACCCAGTAATGGCCCGTATTGAGGCTTCAAATGAGATAGAAAGGGTAACAGCAAATAGCCTAACCATCTACACAGACGGCTCAAAAATAAACGAGAAAGTTGGAGCAGGGTTCCTCATTCCCCACCTCAACCACTCTAAAAGCTTTAGGTTGACAGACGGCGCCTCCATTTTCACTGCCGAACTAACGGCCATCCTTATGGCCCTCGAGTACACCCCAACAACCCCACACACCAGCATCAGCATATTATCAGACTCCCTGTCAGCATTACAGGCCATAAAAGGGGGAGAATGCTGCAGGGAAGACATTGTAGAAGAAATTCTTCAAAAATGCTCCGAGTTGAAACAAAGGGGACGCTCGGTCCAAATGATCTGGATTCCCTCCCATATCGGCATACAAGGTAACGAGAATGCCGACAAAGCTGCTAAAAAGGGAGTGGAATCCAGTGCAATTGTGAAAACGGGAATAGGCTACTCCGAAATGAAGGCTACTATAAAGAAACAAATAAAAGAAGAATGGATACAAAAATGGAATGCAAGCAACAAGGGTAGGCACGCCCACAACATACTACGTCCACCCGATGAGAGACTGCAGGTTACAGCAGACCAAAGGCCACCCATTAATAAAAAAAATTACAAGGCTGCGTCTAGGTTCAACCTCCTTCATTCACACAAAGAAATGGTGCCACACCTGCAATGAAAAAAACACAATAGACCACTACCTAATACACTGTAAGGCATACAACAATCAAAGAAAAGAACTCATCAACTACTTCCAGACAAACAAAAACACATTATTAACAACAGAAACATTACTGGCTATGGACGCCCCATCCACTCTGCATAGCCTGGTAAAAAAATATGTGCACAAAACTAAAGAATCAATATAACAAGCTGTAAAGATAAAATAATATTCACCCAATAACAAAATCCATATCCCGCACAATAAAAAAAACACATCCAAAAATGACAGGAAAACAAATGAAACTAAACTGTACATACACAAAAACCACGAACTAACCACCAACAAAAAAACAGTCTGCGATATAATCGTAAGTTTGAAAGCGGACTTTAAACCCCACATAAGAAGAAGAAGAAGAACGATAAATGTTTCTGTTTATGGAATATAGTCTGAATTATTCTTATTTTGATTTAAGAAAAAAAAAAAAAAAAAAAAAAAAAAAAAAAAAAAAAAAAAAAAACAGACTAACGGCTCTGATACAAATGATGTGTTGTTGTAATATGTTTTAATCAAAAATAAAAACTAAGAATAAAAAAAAAAGGGGGTATATTAATAGTATACTACTACCCGCTTGTTTGTATGACAACATTAGCAGTAAAGTTGTTGTGTCTGGTCAAACGTAGAGAACTGTTGAGGCATGGGTAAAAAGAAAGGCAGGCAGGGACAGAAGAAGCTGCAGGGTCAGAAGGCCAAAGTGGCCAAACAGGCCAAAAAAAAAAATAAAGTGGTCAAAGACAAAACTTGAGTACCATTATAACTAGGTTGATGCCATTCCATATGCCTTTTATATCAATAGAGAGAGAGAGAGAGAGAGAGAGAGAGAGAGAGAGAGAGAGAGAGAGAGGAGACGAAATGAAATCTATTAGATGCAGATTTCTGTATTTGACAAAAGATAAAAACTGGTCGTGAGTACCCGCTAAAGACCAATAAAAAAAAAAAAAAACTTACCTCAAAATTCCCAGCCCTATTCCTGTAGCAACTCTCTGTCATCTGTAGTAAATATTATGGTGTCAAAGTTCAGTGGGGACGTTGTTAAAAGTTCGATGATATGTCCATCATAGACACTATCTGCTACATCTGTCATGATAAACTGGGCACAACTTTATAAACACAAATCAGCACTGACTATTATCAATACCGTTTTTTATTTTGTATGTTCGCCTTCAACTTTAACTGTTAGCCGTTCATATAGTACAAAAGAATATCACATTTAAAAACAAATACACGTCTTTTCGTACGATTTGTATTTACAAGTTCTAGCTATATTAGTCTATCCCCACCTACTTCAGAACTGAATTAATCATTACGCGCTTTTAGAAGGCATGCATTTGTGATACAAAGATTTTAACAATAATCAAATATACATAGAATTTAGCGTATATGAGATAACGCATTATTTTTAAGAAAGAAAGCTAAGTATAACATATTTAAAAAAAAATCTTTTAAGATATATAGCTGCTAAGAAAGTGTACAATATTTAAATATATTTAATTGATTTAAAACAATATTGTGTAGGTCTACGTAAGTGTAATAACTCCGATAAATGATAGCTTACTTATGAAGTAAAAAAAAAACAATCTATTTTCCTTCAAAAGTTAACAAAATATGGGGCCCACATCCCAAATCGCAAATATAATTATAAACATTATGCTTTGCCATAGATGGCAGTAATAGAGAATAATTGACAAAGAATTGTTTAGGTAAAGGTAACTCTAATGCTTTTATGCAGGGGAAACAATCAAATATTAGTACATTAATTTAAGAAACGCAACACAAATAAATAATAGAAATAAAATAAAATATACTTTTTTTTAAAACAAAAAATAAAATAAAAATTAAAAAATTTTTTTTTTGAAACAATGATGTAAAATGACATTATCTATAAACATGTCCTCTAATATTGGATCTAACTCTAAATGTAAAACTTTTGTCAGATTTCAGTACTTAATGCTAAATATAGAGCGATTTATCATTTGATATCAGTTATAGTGTGATGGCCACTTTTTCCATATTAAATATTAATGGTTTTTAATTTTAACCAAAAATAAATTACAAACTAAACAAGTGTATAACGAAAAAAAGAAAACACTTTTGTATGGACAGACTGGCAGCTTTAACCCCCGACCGCAACCACCACAAAATTCTAAAACTTCTTCATAACCGTATGTCACTGTTTCTTTACAGAACACTGATTATGCCAGCTTACTACTTTATAACCCCTACCCCTAGGACTAAGCGTTTCTATGTATTATATGTATATTTAAGAATGAAAGAGATGAAGATAGCGGAGGTTTGTAAATGTACTACGGTCCTCGTATGTCACGTGATGAAATACAAGTAATTAGACAGTGGTCACCTTCGGGACAAAGCTCAGGCGAGCTGAAAAGAATTACATAATCTGAGACTTTAAAAACAATTTATTTATTTGTTTGTCTTTTATTTTATATACATGTATTTTTAAAGGTTTTCAAATATATCAATTCGGTGTTTAAATATATCCTTTTTTAATCCACATATCTAAATTATAAATATCTACATATATTTTTTTAAAGATTTGTATGTTTTACCTACATACATCTATTTAAACAAAGATGGGGCTTAAAGACAAGTTATTGCGGTCACTCTAGCGTCGTATTTTAAGTTATCAAAAATTGTCTTACATTTTATCATAATACTTGTTGTCAGAAGGACGTGATTATATGTAAACATGTTAGAAGGAAAATTTAGAAAAACCGAGTACTTTATAATATTTTCATTATGAAACATCATTGTCCGAAAGATGTATACAATACAATACCGAAATAGTGCACAGTATGAAAGAAGAAAAAAAATAGCGCAAAAAAAAAAACCGTTAAAATAATACTATTTTAAATAATTTGGAAATGTGAACAAACTAACCGTAAATAAAAGAATGGTTAAATAACAATTACAATGACCGCGCAGTAGAGAAAAGATACCAACTGATGTAAGGCATTATGGTACTAAATGTTATCTTAAAACAATGAGATTGTCTAAGAATGTGTTATTAAAACCACATCAGTCACGTCTTTGCCGTTGACTTAGTCATTATCATTATTGTTATCATCATCGTCGTCCTTGTCGTTGACGTCATCAAACAACGTGGAGTATTACTGTGCTACATGTGTACCCGGATTGGCTACGCCCAGCTGCATAATATCTGCCTATTCCATGATCTATCTTTCAGACTTGATGTTTTTTTTTTCTCGAACAGACTTGGATTAACGATGGTATAATTAATGTTCTTGACAAATTGCATTGCATGTCGTTTATGTTTCACCACATTTTATCCAATATATATTGCGTAGTGAAAATAATTATGCTAATTATGACATGTGTTGTTTTGTGTTGTAACACAATCTAATTGAATATTGTCTTTTAGTTTTAATAGAGCGTCATTTGACGTGTTGTGTTTCCTACCACACGGGGTAGTTTAGTTCAAATGAAAACACAGTTGCTGCCGTAATTTTTATTTTGTCGATTGAGTCACACAGTCAAATAATTGATTGGAACGCCTTAAGCTGAATTAGAGTATTAGTCTACATCAGGAATTCATTAGTGTTCATTGATAATTGAATGATTTTCTACGTCACGATTTTCTTTTTTACTCTCAAACTTGTGAATAAAAAAAAAGAAAAAAAAAAGAATGTTTGGTTTATTTAACTTAATAGGGCTGGTAAGTAGATCACCAACCTGTTCTACGGCTGAATAAAACCTGCATGAGACATAGAACTAGTTGGTGACCTACTTACCAGCCCTATTGTCTCGCCCTCTTTTCTCTCAGCTGGTCCAAGCCTTTTTGCCACGCTTTTTTCATATTTCCAAGCTGGCCGTTAAAATAAACGTGTCCAAGGTTTGTTTTTCTACCATTTCAGAAAGTTTCAAACATAAATTAGGTATTTGTCATAAACTAGCCCTGATGCACATTCAGCTGAAACATGTTTAGGGTGTTAACTATCATTCGCGCTAATATTGGTTATTCCCAATTTTTATCCTCAAGTATCAAAGCAAATTTTATCTAGCAAGTATCTAAAATAAAACCAGATGTCGGGGGATTATAATGTCGAGGTACCACTTTGTTACGGTGATATTGAAGATCCAAACTCAAAACGCAAAAAAAGGAAACTATGTACGATGGTCATCTGGGATATAACAGTCAGTTATTATAAAACAACGTTAAAATGGTGCAATAGCTTATGCTCTTTGCAGTGGCGGAACTAGAAAAAAAGGGCTCCCCCGCAAAGAAAAAATTAGGGCCCCCTATATATATATATATATATATATATATATATATATATATATATATATATATATATATATATATATATATATAAAATCTATATCCTAATTGAGTAATTGAGTCTACTTCATTGCAATAAATAACCATTCTGAGAGAAATAATCTGGCAAATTTAGTCCAAACTCATCTTGGGTTAGAAATAATAATGGACACTACAAATATGCTGGTCAAAAATATATAAAGACGTAAGCTTGATTCGTGAATGGTTTCTCGCGTTATGTTTATTTTTTTCATTTTTGGCTTTTATAATATCAATTTTGAAAACATTGATTTTTATAGCTATACCATTGTTTATTACGTCTTATTTAAATAACAATTCAGAGAATCAATTGCTTTTTAATATACAAAGTACAAAACTATTTAAATGAGCTTCGTGGGCATACCTATTTTAAAGAAGGGCAGTAAGTCTGTGTAGTGTGAATGTTTGCCTACCTTTCAAACTATAGCTCTTGTAGATTTTAAAATATTTTTCTACTCAACAATCTCTGCTATAGTAGACCTGTTTTTTTTTTACAAAACCACTTTCAAGATGCATGAAAAACATAATTTTTGAAAAAAAATTCATTGTTTTTTTGTCGGAACTGGGCCCCTAAACGTCCTGGGCCCCCCGCATTGCGGGGTCTGGCGGTATGGTAGTTCCG